AGCCTTCAGCAAGTTGCTGGGCAGAAGCCAAACTGTAAGAAGGATGTAAGACCACACTCTAAGGCAGAATTCATGCTGTCCAGCAGCATACCAAGATAAAACAATCTGAGGTACAATTTTGTCTTTATTATCTTTATTGTGCATCTACTTCTCAGCATTCAGTTCTATTTCCTCTAGGTTGGTATAAAACACACCTGTGTTACAGATGAAGCTCCATAACATCTGCAATATACATTTTAAATCACATTTTATCATTTCATCTAACTGAAATCTGAACACTCAACTGGCAGAAGTGAACATCTGCACATCTGGAACCAAATACTTTAGGCAAGGAAAACATTGGATACAAATCAAATTCACTAAAGCAAAGATGATCTTCTATTAGCTTGGCCTTTGCTTGTGACTTAAACCCAAGTGAAAACAGCAGACTGTGTTCCTCCCTCTGTGAATATATTCAAGTCATGGGAGGAAAAGATCTAACAGATAGTTCAAGAACTGTAGGTACACACATCATTGTATTTTCATTAACTACCATCCAGGAAGGTTATGATAGTTTTAAGCTTTACAGTGCTATTACCTGTTTATTTTAAGGCTGTTCCAGTGCAGGAGCAGATAACTGCAGGAAGGGGGTAGTGCTTATGATTTAAGAGGTGAATGTATCAGAAGTGCATCTGGATTCATACAAGTCTAACTACAGAAATGCTGAGTCTTTCTAGCTCATGAAATGCAGTAACATGATATACAAATGCAGGGGGAGCACTAATTTTTCTTTAAATATTCACCAACAAAGCCAAGCTTTCTTCCCTGTAAAGGTAAATCCAGCAGCAGCAGCCCTGCTATGGAGCACAGTCTGCCAGCCATTCTTCCTCCTTCTGCCATCTGAACAGCACAGGTTCAGCCTAGTTCTCTGTTTTCTTTCCATCCCTACTGTGACTTCAACTTGAGTTGCTCTTCTCCACCAATTTATCACTGCTCAATTGTTTCCTGAAGGTTATTAGTATTGGACTCCCTGTGCCACAGACTGCATCAGAGTGCCAACTGCAGATGTCTGTGGTGTGTATCTATGATTATCTCCCATCATGACTCTTAAGAACAAAGGTGTTCGTACTTTCAGTACTGACTGAATGAGTTTTCAACTTATTTGTGCTTTCACGTCACCCAGAAAATTACCCATTTTATTATCCCATTTAAAGAAATAATACACAGCAGTGTTGCTACCATTATATCAAAGAAGTAGTGGCACCTAGACCTTTGTTATGAATTACATGTTTCCACTGTATTTCAAAGATGCTCAAGAGGCTGCATGCTACAGAAAATAGTCTGAAAATGGCCATTTTATGAGAAACTTCAGGCCTACAATATTCAGTGAGAGAATGATGAGCATTTTTCTCCTTACTAAAATGAGCCACAGTTTCCCCTTAAAACCATATGCTTTCAGCTGGCTGTGTAATCTCCAGACACAGGCATTGCAGCTGCTGAACTATCTCAGAAGTTCTCACACCAACACCTACAGAAAGTAGCCAATTTAAGCAGGTGAAGAGAATTACTAGCTCCAGAAAAATTATAGTATCCTTTAGGTTGGAACAGTCCTTTTAGATCACTGATTGCAACTGTTCACAGGTGACATTCTGCTTGCTGATAATTAAGCTGCATTCTCTGCTAACACTGAAGTTGTACAACCTAAAATAAGGTGGGAAGTTCTTGAAACTCAGGGTCTTGGAATGAAGATAATTAGGTTTACATCACAGCACTTCGTAGTCCAAGGCATAAGAGCCCAGACTTCACTGAAATGGGTTAAATTGCTACTTCTAACAAAATGTCTTATGACAAATATGAATAAAAATTATTTTATTAGAAATAAATTCAGGTTTCCTGGAACTGAATCACTGGATCTGCCCTATGTTAAGGAGAATTAGTTCTTCCTTCATTACACCATTTGATTTGCTCATATAAGTAAATTAACTTAATCATTCTATACAACATTATTGATAAGTTCCTTCATAACGCTTAGAGTTAATGCTTATTTACTCTCCCACTGTGACAAATTAGACCACCTACTCAGACACTGTATTTATTACTGAAGGAACACACATGGAGTGCTAAAAGCCTGCAATAATACAACTCCAATATTTAGTTGCTTTTCCAGGCAATAATCTGTATAGCTAAATAGTTTAGTTCCCCCTCATAAAACCAGAGGAAATATAGCAGTGATACAGGGAATCCTAAATGCTTAGCTGAGGAAAAAAAGCAAAGGAGAATCTAAAATGGAATTTTCCTAAAGTATAACAGTATCAGTGATCAGCACCATGATGAACTAATAGCAGACACTGTGTATTTCAAACACTCTTTATGTGCTGCTTTTTAGCAAAGGTGTTTGGAAAAAAAGCTAAAAATAAAGACCACATTGCTAAAAAGCTAACCCTGGCCTTCAAGTTCAAAGAGCTTTTTATCCAGCAGAAGACACTCATAATGTGTGGCATGAGACCACAAACGCGTCTAGAGAAAAAGCCAAGTCAGAGGCTGTTTTCGTACGTGTTACTCAGAAATGTTTCCAGTGCCCTAAAAAGCTTATTTTTTCTGTTCAGTAAGAGGTTTAAAAATAGTTATTATCAAGTTTTTCCGCATATATTATCCTCTATTATTTCAATTCCACTGTGCTGAAGTTGCTCTATTCCCTGACATCCCACTGAGGTGATCTGCACCCAAAATTTGATAGCAATCCCGTCCACCATCAGATTCATGTATTTATACACAGGTTACTTCATTAACAGACACAGCAGCCTTAGAGCTTAATGAAACAAATAAGTAATTAATAAACACACATGTAAATCTTCATTCGATTAAGTTCTTGTGCTATGACAAGCAAGGATTGTATTAAAAGCACTGCTAAAAGAATTTCAGGCCAGTGTTTCAACTGCTGCATATCAGAGATCTATCCAACATCAAGCAAGCTGAACAAATCAACACACCTGAAAATTCAAGTCTATCTCAGCCTTTAATAACATATTACAATAAAAAGATCTTCAGGAGATAAAACACTGCCTGTGGAAAAAGATAAAAAATGGAAATGCTCGGGAAAGGGGAAAAAACCCACTGCCACACAAAAGAAATTAATCGTATGCATGTGGCTTGCTTTGATTTCACAACAAAGATAGATTTTACTAACACTGCTCAGCATGAAAAACAACACCAATCCCATTCAAATTCATCTGAGTATTTTTGAATGGACAGGACTTCAGACTCTGCCTGACAACAGTTGCTCAATTATGTGTTACTTTTATTACACACAAGACTTGGCAGCAGCAGAGAACGTATGTCTGGGACAATCCTCGAAAAATTTACTAGCACTTCAAGATACACAGGCCAAGTTACAATATGGAGAGATCCTTAAAATACTTCATTTTGCATGTAATTATTCACTGATAACAGAGGGAGCAGAGTGAAGTTTCAGATTCAGTAATAGATTAGAGGCAATTGCTTCTTCTGTACAAATTGTAAAACGAACATCTCAGTTGATGTCCTGCTGCCAAAAGGATGTTTCAACAACAACTGTGTTACCAGGAAAGTCTTACATCACTATTGCAGCTCTACACTGGAAGTATCATATGAAAATAAACATACAGCTTCCAAAACAACCTTAGCATACATCCATTCCTCAAGGAGCCACAAAGATAAATGCTAGCATAAAGGCCCCTTTTTTTTTTTACCATTTAATATTCAACACTCCAGTGTCAACCAAGTTCATCACAAAAGCCAACTTCTGTCCTGTGTTTGCCTGTGAGCACCAAACTACATCAAATGCACTGAAAACAAGCAAGGAAGAAATCAACGCACATTAAATCAAGAGCAAAACTCAGTGTCAAAATCTGTTCCGATGTAAGAAACTGTTAGACAAAACAACATTTACGTTTTATTCTGAAATCCTACATTGAGATTACCATACCAGTGACAAGCATTTTGAAACATCGAGAATCATATCACAGCCAAACCACAAAAGATAATGACACAGACACATACTCCCACTCTTATAGAGCCTTCTGCTTCCAACAGCTTCACTAAGCTCGGTTAAAAAATAGCAACGGCAAAACAAGGAAAACAGAGTTCCAAAATAAGTGAAACAATAAATCTTAATATGCAATAGCCATGTCTGCACTTTCCCGAAGGCAGATTAGTCAAAGCTCCTTTCAGAGCACAGTTTTGTAGCATCTCTGGAAACACGGACACCTCTGCAGGGAGGGTGCCGCTGCCCCCGCACAGGAAGGGTTAGCGAGCTACAGAACTCGAGGGGATGGAGAGGGAAACAGCCGAAGCACTACAGCACTCACATATTAATATAACTACAGGAGAGCTGCAAGCCGGCAGCCACAGCTCCATTCCGCATTTAAGGGAGACGGGAATGAGAGAAGAAACAGAGAGGGGAAAAGTTTCCTCGTCTTTCCTCCAAGCAAATGTAAATTTGTTCGTTAGGTCCTCAAGCTTTCAGGAACAGTTACATAAAAATATGTAAAATCGGTAATGCTTAGAATAGGATTCCTTCCACTTCAAAAGGCTGTGCCGGATAAACCCTGAGACACGCGAGAGATTGACGGAGAGGCCAGCTCCAGCCCTCCCTCCTGGAGCACAGAGACTCGGCCAGCGGAGCCACGGGCTGGATCCACGCCTGCCGGCAGCGGGGCGGCTGGGGCTGCATTCCCCTCCCGTACAGCAGCTCTGCCACACGGGCACAGGGGCTGCGGGGCTCGGGCAGCTCTGATGCACACAGCCGGCAGCTGCGGGAGGCTGACGGGGTTTTAGTGCCATGAAATGGTGGATCTGACTATCAGGCACATTTTATGATAGGGAGAGATCGTGAGCCTCTGCAAAGCAAAGCCGGGCAGGGACAGCAGGAGGGAGCAGGACCAGCAGCGGCAGGGCCTGGAGGACTGTCAAGCCCAGCCGCCTCCCCCCGCCGGGCCGGGCGGCCCCAGCCCGGGCCCCCCCTCCGCCAGAGCGGTACTTACGTGAAAACAAAAAATAAAGTAGTCGAACCCACTAATAAGGCAGCTGCTGTGGAGACCGGGATGTATTTCGTAGGTTTAAACCTCTTTCCAGTGCTGCTGGGCATCCTGTAGTTTACACATCACTATGTAAATCCAACCCGAGAGGAGGGAGCCGGGAGGATGCGGGTCCCTCCGGCGCGGGGAGAGCGGGACCCGGGCGGCTGGGAGGGACGGGAGAGGGACGGGAGCAGCTGACCTCCAGCACAGGAAATCCCACCCACACCGCCCAGCCCACTCGGCTGATGTCAACCAGCCCCTTAAGGTAGCGCTGCGGGGAGACGGGAGCGGGGCGCGCAGCCAGCACAGCCCCGCCGAAGGGCGGCCGAGCCGCGGCTGCTGGGGCTGCCTGCAGCGGGGCACCCGCTGCGGACGGAGGGGGCCCAGTTCTATTCTTTCTACAAGACAACCCCCTCCCCCCCGCCAAGAAAAATGGCAATGCAGTGAGCTCCGCAGGGCGCTGTGTGGGACGCCGAAGCTGCTGTAGCAGCTCCCTGAACAGGGGCTCTAGAGGGGGCTGCGGACGCGGCACCGCCGCAGAAGCCGCGGAGCGCTGCGGGGTCCGCGCAGGGAGCGGCGCCGAGCGGGGCCCTGCACGACAGGGCCAGCTGCGAGCGAATCCTGCCGTGCTCGTTAGGGAATAAACCCTACTTTTCATTCTGCTACACCCAGAGCCACAGCATTAAGGGAACTGCTGCAATCTGCCAAATTTAGCTGATTCCAAGATCCATAACTGAGTGCAAACATAACTGAAATTACACTACACTCTGCTCTTTTAAATCTATCCATTAGCATCAGGAGGCAGACAGAAGAGGTAATTTAAGGTAACAACAGAAAGTTCACCGAATCAGCTTTCCCAAGAGCAGTGAGAATGGCTCCTCTGTTCACACTCGGGGGCACCACCCAGCAGCTCGCCGGTCTCAAGGAAACCCTCCGATGGGAAGAAGGGTTCAAGGCCACTTGGAAGTTTAGAAATCAAGACCAGGAGCTGCATACATCCTGCTCACTCCCTCCTGCTTTCTTTCTCAGCTAATCCCTTTTCTGCAGCTGCCAACATGCAGATAAAGTAACCCCTGCCTAATACAAAAGCCACATTTGCAGCATCTGCTGAGTGTTGTTAAAAGTAAGCTTGCCCTAGAAGGAGTACACTGCAGTGCTGTTCAGAAAGGACATTAATAATTTCTCATTTTAAGACACTTGATTAGTTCCACAGTCTTAGAAGTCTTAAGAACAGAACAAGTAAAACCCGACCAAAAATCTGTAAGGGTCCTCAACTTTGCAGTTTACAAAAAAATACCCCCACAACCACAAGCCAAACAAACCCCAAAATTTTTAGCATCAGCTTTAACAAAAAGCAAAGCCAGCAAGTTCCAGCCTGAGGATATATGGCTATGTGAAATCTCAGCTTTTGCTAACAACTGCCCTGCTTAAAAAAACAAAAAAGGAAAAAAAAAGTCAAATCCAAAAGGGACTAAAGCCAGAAGGCAACTTAAAATCATCTCCAGACTTAGCTTTTTAAGGAACAGGAAAGAAAACATCTACCTAAAGTTATTTTTGCATGGGAGGAACTTAATGTTTCCTATGCTTCACTACTCCTTGTCATGCCAGCTTATTGGAATTAATTATTCTCAAACCCCCTGTAACTAATCAAAAGGTCAACAATTTTATGCAGAAGCAGGCTGTGCATACGAAGCTGAAAGGCTTCAGGTGCAGCTACATGAGCATGCTAAATCAGATCAAAGGCACAGCTGGGAAGCAAATCTCCCCATCATCTCCACTTACCAGGTCTGATGTGTATTGCTGAGTGGTCTCCAGGGAATCACCTGGGTCTCTTTTCCACAAAACTGGGCTGGAAGATCCATTTCAGGAGCACACCTAAGGCTCTGGGCCACGAGTTAGTTTAGCACCACTTACTTGACAAAAGCAGAGAATTCATCCCTTACATCAGAGACTTCATCCCTTACATCATCTTCCTCCTTCCCACTCAAGCAACAGTCTGGGTAAAGAATTTAAGTTGCAAACAGAACTCTGAAGAATTAATCTAGAAAATGTTATCCTAAGCAGCATTATGGACTGTTTATGAAGTTGGGTGAATGTCCTCTAATGGACAGCATGAGATTTACTCAAATGCATTTCTTAGGTCTAAAGAGAGAAAAAAGTTCTCTCCCAAGTGACAGTCATATCTGCATTTTTAGCATGGACCTGCAAGTTTCCTTTCTAGGTGAGGCACAAGAGCATCCTGTCAAATTTCTAGCACGAGCTGGGAAGCAATAGGCACAAGTTCATTTTAAGATACATATCTGGAGTCTGATGATTTATTTAAATTTCATTCTTTTTAAAGAAGCAGCCTTTCTGGGACAGTAACATTCCCTCATGCGAATTGTGGAGTTATTCTTAAGGAGACTATGCCTCCTCTGCACCTCATTATTTTCAATTGTATTTTCCCCTAAGGACTCTTTCCTCTCTAGAAAGTCTGCTTCTCAAAGACAGCTTTGCAAGTGGGGAGGATTCAGCACTTCTGCTCATTTCACTCCTCAGAAAGGTTTTCCCTCTATCACTCTGACACAGTGATGCTGATCCAATCTTGCTGTATCAGCCCCCATTTGTTGGGCCAATCTTTCAAGCCATTCCTGTTCTGAAAGGCTCTCAGCAGCAAGCAACTTTGGCTTTTTTTAATATCCCAATCACATAACACTTCTCTAGAGAGACTAAAGATAACTGTGAGTTATCAGGACATAAAGAATTGTACCTTTCATAGCAACAAGAGGTGCATCTCCAATCTGAACAGATCTTGAAGATCACAATGCCAGCTGGGTTGGGGCTGCACAATCATCCTGTGGATCATGACACCTGTGCTGTGCAGTCATGCAGACCCAGCATTTCCAAAAGGGGGCTGAGACATTCCATGGTACAAGGCTACAGGGTTATGCTGAATTGGGCTTTGGGATTACTTTCTTCTGGTGCATATTGTAGATTACCTATCACAAAGCAGTAATTTTCTGTAATTTTGTGTCCAAGAGTTCCCACAGCTCACCTCATTTCCTTCCCACTACCACTCCAGTTCCCAAGAACGCTCTGTTTTCAAGGCAGCACAAAGCACTGCTGAGCAACACTCAATCCTGTTATTACAAGCCAAGTGTATTTAAAGCAGTCAGATGACTTTACCTGTCAAACACTAAGGATGTCTGAGGAGGACTTGACTAAGGCAGAACAGGCATGGCTCAGAATTGCTCTCCTGGAACACCTTTATTTCCAGGACTGCAGTTTCTGGATTCACACTACCTTACTGGCATGCCAGAAGATTTTGGCAGCACTGAGGTAAACAGCAATGGCAGCATGAGTTAGGGAAAGATTTAATGACAAAGAACAAACACAGCTACAAAGAACAATCTAAAAATAATCTGGCAGAGCATGGCTAGTAATTGCATGTCTTCTTGCAAGATTTTACTCTGAGGTTTTACCCCAAAGGAGGAAGGGCCAACCACAGAAGCTGTGTTGGAGCCACATGGCAGGGTACCCCTCTCAGATGAAAGGAAACTTACAACAGAGCAAGAATCAAGCAAGCCTGAAAGCCATGCAATTTTCATATCAAGTCACAGCACTAATTTTAGCTGGAAATCTTAGCTTCATGATTAAGAAAATTATTTTATTTTGCGCACTTGAAAATACTGAATATCCCTGGAATATTTTACTGGTCACTTGCAAGTTAGCTCCTAGCTTGAATTTGCTGTTGCCATTTAACAGTGACCACAATAAATAATTCTACTTTTCTCACTGCATTTTCTTACTACAACTACAAATGTTGTTGCCAGCCCACGTAGTACTTACTGATGACCTGCAAACTGCTCAGGGTCATTTGGAGAACCCTCAAGGATCACAAATTCGTTGTTTAATAAAAGCTGGTTTTCCCCTCAAATTTAGTGTTCAGACCAGAGAAACCTGCATCATCTTGTGCTGCACAGTGCTGCCAAAAGTCCAAGCAAGGGCCAGACAGTTCTGGGTACAAGCCAGACCTAGTAAGTTACCCATTGGAACTTTAATATGACAACTTTAATTTAGTTGTTCATTTTTTACCAGATAAATCAAGAAATTATTGCCTAATAATGACTTCTCAGTAACCTTAACAGATTTATGACAAAATTTTCTAGATGATTCCAATAGATATTTTTTGTGGGATGGCATTTACTCAGAACAGATCTGGTGCATTTCCCAACAGCAGTGATGGGGCATGTCAAGTTGCATTTACTATGAGACTTTAGTACCTCTGCATATTGATTCCTAAATGATCCCCACAAAAAACTACTTACATCAAAATGAGGTAGGCATCCAAGCAGTTTTAAAGATTCACTAACCATCCTCTTTAAAACCATTAGTAAAGTGTAATTCTCCTCTTCTAAATGAAATATCACTGTAAATGATGCTGCTGAAACTCTGCAAGCCAACAGTGTTCATAAACCAACAAACAATATGCACTGATAAGCACTATTTATATGAAGCAATGTAACTTTAATTATACCTGTTAGAATAGTCTTGAGAAATATCCTCCAAGCATACAAAATATTCAGTTATTTTCATGTCCAATCCATCTTTGTTGATGCTTACAATAGCCATAATTGCTTTTATGGAAAAAAAGCATTAGAAAATGATGAAATTTAAACTACTTGAAATGAGGCCAGCCAGCACATGAATAGGCAAGAGCTCATGACACTGTTAGCTTCTCTCTTAGGTTGTAAGTAAATTACACATCTTGATGAACAGTTCATATCTACAGTACAGTGAATCAGCTGATGTAAATTTGTACAGTCAAGACTGATAAACAATGAGCTGGACTTTCCCAGTTTGAAAGTTGGAAACATGTTTAAGACTGTAAAGTTGATGAAATATTTGTGGTAGTCAGACACCTTCCACAAAATTAAAGAAATTTGCTGTATGCAACATCTAATCCAGATTTGTGCTAGTACCTTCTTTGTACTTAAAACTTATATTGCTGTAACAGGAAATACACCCCACAAACATTACCTGCACCATTAATACCTAAAAAAAGTGCATTTCTACAAATGTAATTGATTTATGGATCTGATGTAGGTTGCATTTTCACTAGACTACAGCTAACTAGTTTGACAAGTCTTAAAAACATGAACAGGTCTTAAGTCAGTGGTTGGTGTCTAATGTGACTTACGTGGACAAAGACATTGTGTACCTTAATCTGCATATCATAAAAATATAGTGGTCACAAAATCTGATGCATAGCTGTAGATACTATTCAGCTCTTATATATTAGGAAGATTTTTGCTCCTGTGCTTGTCAGTTTTCACAACCTCAGTATTTATTCCCTTATTTTTACTTGCACAAGCTGCTTACTTGAGAATCACCTTGTTTTAACACAAACTAGAGTCTGAGAAATCACTTACATGTGGAATCCACTCTACAGCTCATTACTTCAAGCTTTTCTTCCTCAAGCAAAATAATTCTGATCTGCTGCAGTTAAGTTTTCCTTAGCTCCTTACTCTGAAAATGATACATTGTCAAAGATTTAGTTAAGGTTGGTAAAAAACTGGTAATTCCTCTTCTTTCTATTTTGAAGAGTAATTCTAGCTAAATTTAATTAGGAAAACCTTTAAAGTAGACCCTGAATAAACAATCATAAAATAAAACAAAATCCTTTATACACAGCTCACTTCACTGAACTAGTGCAAGTTTACACATGACCTCAGCAATGTAAAAACACTTGGAAATTAGTTTGGCTAATCAAAATTAAAACACTGGATTGCCATGGATACCTCAGAAAATACAGCTTGCTAGAAACAACTTGGAGCAGCCAGGACAGATGGGTGTCCTGGGAACAGGAGAGCATAAATAAAGACAGCACTGGGAAGTTAACTGGAGAGGTTTGAGGTTGTTTAAATAATCATCCACTCTTTAAGGACTCATCACTGAAAGCCAATGGCAATTTGTACAGATCAAAACCCAGCAGGGCTTTTGGAATGTAATCTTCACCACTGTCTCCATTTCCACATAAATAGGTGCAATTTAATATTACTAAGGAGTCAAGCTGAGTTTTCTGACTCTGCTTTGGAGTCTTTTCTTTAAAGAAAGGTTACCTGTAACATTCAAGTTTTTCACTGAGCTCTGTGAAGGAATGCACTGAGATGGAGCAGCTCAAGGCCCAGCACTGCTGAGGGACATCAGAGTTCAGCACAACTCTGTGAGCCACACACAGCATCCACCAGAGGACAACACTCAAACTGGTGACAACAGTATCAACAAAACCCAAAGAACTACTCACACTCATTATTTCCCTTTACATACAGGTATGCCTCGAGCATCAAAATTAAGAATTTACAACATTCTCCTATCTGCATAGTGGTGAGAATAATTTTAATTTTCTGATGTTTTGGTATCACTGAGAACTTGCATTTGATACAAACTACCTTATTGGGGGGGGGGGGGGGAAGATCAACATTTAGTGTTGAAAACACAACAAATTGGGAGTGTTTGCCATCTCTGAATAAGACATTTAGAAAACTTATTCCTGGAGAAAACCCCCCAACAGATTAGTGTAGTCTTCAAAATAATTAACATGAGATCTAGAGGGAACTAGTTTGAATTATTTTCTGTAAGTAGACTTCTTTAAGACCTGAACTTGCTGTTAAATAGATACTATTTTGATGCTTGTCAAAATGTAACAATTTTAAAGTTGAATTTATCACTCAGGAGTCTTCAGACATTCATCCATTCAGCACATACACACAAAACCATTTGTGCCACCAAAGACTGGATCACTAAGCCTGGCTATATAGCATCTTTCTAAACCTGAAGCAAGCAGAAAATTTGTATGAATTGCAGACTTTAGCACCCAACAATGCTTTATTAGCACTGTTGTATTTTCCTTCTTTATAAAAAATGAATGACTTTTAAAAAAATCTTCACTTGGCAGTCTACCTATAGGCAAGTTAAATCATTACAGTGACTAGCCCAAAACAAGCCTTATTCCACTGAGATAACTTTAAAAATACTTACTGCTTTTTAATGTGTAGAACAGCTAAAGTGACCAGAACATGGAGTTACCATCCTTTAGTTTAGAGGACTAAAACATTCTTCAGCCAAATGTTACCAGAGAAATTATTTTACTGAGTGCTCTCTCTTAACTTTGCTCTCTGAGACTGAAGACTTGCAAGGATTGTTGCAATCCAGGAACTGTAAACACAGATCAGTTAAACCTAAACAAGAATGGAAATGTCTTGAAGTCATTCAAGCATGCTGAAGCAAGAGGGGAAGAAGAAAGGGTAATAACATTAAGCAGGAGTCATCAATAACTAATATTAAGACAAATTAAACCATTCAGGTGCTGCCCCCTCCCTTTTGTGCAATGTTTGACAGTGAAATGCAACTCACCCATTTTGCTGCCTTCATCACTTTACCCCTGCAGACTAAAAATGCATTCCCAGTAAGTTCTCAAAATAAAAAGCAAATCCTTTAAATGAAAATTTAAGTTTATTTTGAAATTTTTAAGTCATTTCTATCAATTTAGACACAGTTTGACATTATCAGATCATTTACAGTGATTCATGGATAAAAGATTTGGCTTTTACATTCAAATGTTAAATACTTCAAAATAGCTTTGTCTTGTTACTTCCAAACCAGAAACACTAAAGAGCATTTTATTTTTGCCTTTCAACCATCTCTGTTAATTAACAGACTTTTGATATCTGCTGTAGTTGAAGGGGAACGTGCAAAACACCAAAGGAATTATTTTGTTTGAATGAAGTGAGTACCTTAATTACAGTTCCAGATTTAAGACTCATTCACTGTAGCATCAAAAGGCAGTGCTAAGAAAGACATGATTTATTTTTTAAAAATATATTTTTCTTAGGCAGACTGCAGAACCTGACTGAGTTAAAAACCTCTTCATGAAGACAAAAAGGTCTTGCTATCCCATGTTAACATCATTCAGTCTTACAGTTCAGCAAGGTTTGTACACTTTTCATAATTATTTTGGAAACTATTTAAACTTTCATCTCTATTCCTAACACAATCCTTGTATTAGTGTTAAACAACAAAATTCAATTTATCTACCAGACTTAATTGTGTTGATTTTATTGCTTACTATAGTTTATTTTCTTACTCTCTAACATTAATTTGAAATTGGATAAACAAAAAATATTTGCAAGGAAGAGATTTGACCAATTTGCCTATTCTGGCAAGGAGGGTGTCCCTCAAAGCATGTGCACCATAATTAACTGTTCCAAAGTGAATTCCAGCCTGCTGCTCTCCAAGGACAGCCTCCCTAGCAAACATCTGAGAAGTTCAAAACTCCTCCAGTTTGTAAAAACACAAGCTCCAAAGCCCTGGGAAAAAAGCTTACACATTTTAGACCTGTACATTCTTGAGACTACAACAATATACTGGCAAGGGGGATCTCTCAGGAAGGTACTCAAACAGCTCAGATTCCTTTGCACAGCCCTCAGCACAACAGGCTGCTGCAGCTGCCTTCAGTCAGCAAGCAGCACCATGGAAGATCTGGGACAACAGCAGGAGCTTTCTGCTAAAATCAAAATTTGGGGCAGGGGGGGGAAGCACAAATTTCATTTTGTGAGAAGAAAACGCTTCTCAAATCTGGCACAAGAAATTTTGTCCCCCACCTTTATTTTCACCATGGATCTTTCACCATCACCTTTATTTTCTGAGGGATCAGCAGCAGCAGTGTGCCAGGAATGCTCTTATTGCCTGATTCCAGAAGTCTGCTGCATTTCAAGAAGCACAGGCACATTCCCTGCTCAGTACACACAGCAGCAGGTGTGAAAGGTCTGTTAGATTACAATTTAGAAGCCAAATAAGAAACACAAATGCAATCTTAATCTTCCCTGCTGACAAAGTCTATTAACCTACTTAATCCACAGGAATGATGATATGTAGCTCAATTAAACAAGTGTATTCATAAGCCTTTACAGTATACAGAAAACTCAGTTCTGTCCCCTGATGCTGTTTTCAAGTTTGTTTTATTCACTCTTTTGGATAACTGTAAATAAGTGTTTCCACTATGGAAAAGAAAGTTAGCACAGTACATTTTCATGACTGGGGAATGAATTTTTCTGAAGACACCTTCCAAAGGGCAAAAGCCTAGAAAAAACAATGTGAATGTTGAATGCAGTTCCATATAAAGTCCCTTGTAAAAATGAAAAAAATAACCAAAACAAAGAAAAAAGAAAAAAAAATAAGAGAAATAAAAAAGTAAAGGAAAAACTGCAAGGCCCAGGATGATTTTATTGCTTTTCTTCAGTTTTTTCCTTGGTCTCTTTCTTCTCAGATTCTTTGCTCTCTTCCTTTACAGAAAGCTCTTCTAGTTTTTCAGCAACTTTATCAGCACTATCATTTTTGTCTGTGCCTGCTAAAAGATTGGTTAGGAAAGGTATTACATACAAGCAGTAATGGATTGGACAAAAATAAAGATATTCTTCACTGACCACTGGAGTGACTCATTCCATTTCTTTTCCTCTGGTAATTACTTCAGATGTCAGATTTCAAGAAACACCACTCATGTACATTAATCACTACACAGGGACTGAAGAATGTGTAGCATCTGGCCAGCTGTGCTGCTACCAATAAAGTATCCAGACAAACCCTTTGTTTCTTGGCATCTTAACAAAAAAACCAAAGTCAAGTTCCCCAGTTTGAAATTGGGGCATAGGAATTCCTATGACTGGAAAACTCCAATCTAAATATCTTGAAGAATGCTGACTGCAGACCACTGTTAGTCTGTACTTAAGGAAGACAGAAATGTTTATTTTTTTTACATGGTGACATAGCTCATCACAAAGGCAATTCTAAAGGGAGGTGCAATAATCTGTTAGACTTGTGAACAATCTCACACACACTAACAACTATGAAAAACATTAAATATTATACTTGCATGATTATAATTTGCAAAACTTGGGGAAGGGACCTGGAAGGAAGAAAGAGCACTGTGGTTGCAGTGTTCACAGCTCATTTGTTTACTATAAGCCATAAATATTTCCTTGACAGTCATTCCAAAGCAGCCCAACAGCAAAATGTCCCAACAGCAACTGTAACAGCCTTCCACAGGAAGGAAGGCCATCGTCACTCCTGTCAGCTCTTACTCTTGCAGACAGAAAAGCACCTGAACTGAAGGCTGCAGTTCAGCACAGAGTGAGTCTGCTGGAACACAACACTCCAGGCTACTGGAACCACTCACACAGCTCAGAAATGGCACCAAGTACACTGAGAGCACCTTACCTTTCTTTGTTGTCTTGCCTACTTCATTCCTGCATTCTTCAAATTTTGCCTTGAATTTCTGTGCATCTGTTTCAGTGAAGATAAAATATTTTTTCATTACTTTTACTGCCTCACAACATTGAGTACTTCTAATCTTGAAGAAAGATACCCTAGGGGAAAATTTGTGTAAACCAAATTTGTAGGGACTTATGAAGTAATCTAGTAAATCATACAAGATGCAAAATTCTTCAATCACATCTTTTTGCAAAAGCAATTCATCTTCTTCAGCATGTCTACTAAAGCAACTTATTTTGCAAAATATTCAAAATGTAATGCCAGCAGGAGCTGTTTTGTAGTTATTGCAACTCCCAGCTGTCTGTAGCCTAAAGGAATAGGAATATGATGTCAGAGACTGCTAATACAACTATATGCAAAAGCCTGAAGATTAGCTTTGAACTGCAATCCTTGCCAGCTGTGTTACACCTTAAGAGTCTTCCACAAGCTGACCATAACTGGGGGTTCTGAGCATCAGCAAAGGAAGAGAATGCCTGTTTCACTAGGAAGATAATGCCTGTGTCACCAGCACAGCATTCATACTCTGTACCTGAGGGCTACTCCTCACTGCAAGAGCCAGCAATGCATAATCTTCATGACCTTCTGGTCTAAGCCACCACTCGAGTCAACAACCATTGCAAGCAGCTGATCAAATCCCAATAATGTCTCTACACAAGTAATACAAGCAAAAAGGGCCTGGGCAAGGAGCTTCCTGTCACCACAATGAGCAAGGCAGTACCAGCCTGGCATCCCAGGCTGGTCTGGCTGACCACAGGAGGTCACTGTTGCCCACAGGAATTCTGAAGACACTTAGTAACCAGCCCGGGAAGTGTTTGTATCGATTCCTTTTCCAGCACCTCAAACAGCAGAGACACCTGAAGGACAAATCTGGGTCTGTTCACCTGACATCTGCTTAGTCAGTGCTGCAAAGGGCAAACAGGAGGGAAGGACTATTCCCTCAAGACAGAACATTCAATAAGCTGAACAGCCTCTACCAGAAAGAGAGAAAGACTTCTTAGAGATTAGCAAATAGTTGCCCCTCACTTCCTACTTGATCATGAAGCAAGCACTAAGCAGGTAGACCATCAAGCTTTAAAATACTTAACCACTTTTATGATTCATTGAGTATGTAAGGAGAAAAGGAGGTTACCACACTAAACTTGTGTGGCAAACTGTAAAGCAAGAAATGCAACACTTTCATTTTGCTCCTTTAAAAAAAAATCCAACCCAACAACAAAACAATACAACATAAATTCCCTCTGCCTCCAAACACTTCTTTGATTTAATCCTAGCTGATCCATTATTAGAGTTACTTTTCTGGTACTCATTGTAGTCACTCCAGAAAAACCCACCAACTAGTATGATGGGTCTGACTTGCACTTTGCATTGAGGGTTCCATTTAATCAAAACAAAAGATACTACATACTTCATTAAAAAAAGAAAAACCAACCCAGATATTCTGCTAATGCAGATGTGCCAGAAATATCAGGTCAGGATTTCCTTGTTTCTAATGCAAAAATCTAATCTTAACTACAACTGAGAACATGAATTACATGAAAGTAAGCTTTATGTGAGTCTCTTAACTGCCTGTAGTTTTATTCTAATTGGCACAGCACTTACATGAAATGGCTTAGGTTAAGAAAGTGCCTAGGGCAGAAAATGCACAAATATTACTACAGACCTAATTACTACACTGTTTGTCAACAGATAAGGTTAAGTGATGAACAGACTTCTCTCAGATAAAGAATGAATTAGCTAACACTGCCATGCAGGGGTGAGATACAGCACATCTCCAGCAATGGTTTAGAGCAGCCTTTAGACAAGCAGGGCACCATCCCAGGTTACAGTCAGCGTGAGCTCAGTGGCAGGCACTCACTCTCTGCGTTTAGGAACCGGATTGCCAGAAGTTCGGGCTTGGGGCACTCGTCTGCAAAGTCCGCGTGTGTGTTCCACACCCACGCCCGGTCGCTCCCAGCGTTGGGCTTCAGCTCCATTAGGGGTGTGACTGAAACAAAAGCATTCAAATGTTGCAGTGTGTTGTAACAGCGTCTTTTAAAAACTTCCAGGTCCCTTCCCCAGGTGTGCCAATACCCCTCTTCCCCTTCCCCATCTCGCCCCCTGCTGGGCTGTCAATCAGTTTTAACATTCCAGCAAGGCTCGTGTGGTTCCTCACTTTCAAAGGATGCCCCTCAGGCCCAGAGGTCATTGGCCTGTCTGGGTGTCATCCTCCCCTGAGACCCCGCCCCTCCCACCTGGTTGGTGGCTCACCTGTCCCCTCCCCTCCCCCGGGAGCTAAAAAGGTGAATCAGACCATGTGGTCGGGATTCTGTTGGAGCTGTTGCCAAGATTCAGACCTGTGTGACCATGGAATAAAGCTCTGGATATTAACCCTCCACCAGAATCCATCTCCTTTGTCTTCACCATCGCCTGAAGCCTTCCTCCTGAGGTAAACAGAGTTCCTACCAAGTCTGGACTTGTTCAGTGCCCAGCTGCAACCACCAGCAAGCTAAAGGTGTCTCTGGGGTGATACACCACAGCTGCTGCCTTTGGCCCAGCAGCAAGGGTCAGACTGGCCCCGGCACAATATACCTGGTAATATTGGGATTCATATTCCAATATTCAAAGATGTACAGAGCACAACAGCAAATGTTTTCCACACCAGCCTCCATAAATCTCAGTGAAAACAGGCTGTGATGGTTACATAAAGCACTTGACACAGAATTACTTTGGGATGAATACAAGACAGTGATGTTCATATATTTTTCCTTACATTGTCAAATAAAATTATGCAAAGCCATTACTGTTTGAGAGGATGCTGGATTCACCGCTGTTAGGAAAAAGAGTTGGATTCAATTTTTGCTTAAAACAGATGATTGTGATACAAAGAGATGCAGGCACTGAGCACAGCTCTGCAGTACAGACAAATGATTTAGAAGGAAAAGGTATCCAGACAAACAACACTCATTCTTCTTCTACCAAAATTCATTTTAAAAAGCATTTTTCCTTCCATTAGTCATCAGGCTAATTACCACTCCCATCAGTTTAAAGCTGTACTACAAGAAATTACAGGATTCTGTGGTGCTGCAAAATGTACACATTGCCTTTTCAATCTATTTTCTCCCTCCCAGTTAATGGGGCCCTGTCCCTCCAACACACTACAATTACCTCACCTGACTGACTGGAGAAGTTGAAATGTTACTTCCCACAGTACTTTAAGACTTTTTACATTACAGACATGCAAAGTCTAAGCAGGGCTTTTTTCTCCTTGAGCCCTGTCTAGTTCAGGAAAATCTGAAAAGTCTACTCCCTTCCCTGCATTTTTAACATCTAGAGATCAAACTACATTTTGCTCCATTTAATGCTTTGCAAAAATGAAAAGAGTTCTTTTGTCTGACTGTGAGTCAGCATAAATTCAATAAACAAATCTATATGGAGAGAAGCTTTTCCAGGAAAAACACCTATACAACTTTTGACATAAATACTATAAATTCATCAATTCTGTTTTCCTATGTGCAACATTTATTTCCCTAAACAAAAGGTTTATTCCTGCTGGTTGGTGGCATTAAGCTATTTCTTATTTCAAATTAGCTAAATGTAGTTTATTTCCACAGAACACTATAGATTCCTCATATAAACATCTGAATATCAGCAAAGCAAGCAAAGTATCACAAACTGGTCTATTTGTTGCAAGTTGTGCCGACTTTCAAGTCTGTCTTGCTCTTTAATTTTTTTTTTTATAATTCAAAGAGGATTCTTTTTTGAATGAGTCAGCCCAATATAACACATTCATTTCAGTTTATTTCACAAGCAGAGAAAAGCAGACTCAGATTTGCTTAGCACCTCAGTCTCTGTTTTCTGATAGTTAAGGATTGGTTTTGGAAATTCAGACATTTAGGTCAAAGTAGTAAATGATTACATCATGGTTTCTCTCACTCTTACAAAAGTGAGCTAGCATACATTTAATGTATGCTATTATTTTGATAATATTAATTCTTATTTTGAGCAGTATTAAGGCCTACATGTTCTACACTATATTAATCATTAAAATAAAGTACACACACACACACACTGGAAGCAACCACATAATGCCTGTCTATCATAGTTAAATTTTCAAGTGACTTTTGTTAGTCCTACAGCACTATCAGACTCTTAAAGAAAAAACCTCCAGCTTCCTTCCCTTAATAAAAATAACCCCTCATGGGTTTTGATGCCTGAAGCCTTGTATGAAGAGCAAGAAACAACCACACTTCAATTCCACAAGCTTATTTTTTAAATCAAGAATAATTATAGAAATGTATAACATACTGTAATGGTTTGCACAGATTTTTAGGGTTTTATCCCTCCTCATGAGGAGGCGAATGGTTCCCTTCTCCTTGTGCTTCAGGAGTTTCACATCACCAGTTCCCCGCTCTTTCCACTCTGGAAGGTCATTCTCTGATGCAAACCTGAAGAGCTTCGCTCGCCTGGGAGAACAGAAAATGTAATTAGCCTGCAGGTATTAAAATATCACACCTGACCAAAGAGCACAGTTCTTTTTAAAAGCCACACACAAAAAGGAAACAATTCCTTTAATAAGATCCCCTGTTCTGCTTCAAAATACACATTCAGAAACTGATATGATAAATTAAAATTGAATAATAAAATATTAGGAATTATGTAATAACTGTACTAAAATTCAACAGGTTCTGGACACTGTTAGGGGATGATAAACATATTTGGTGTAGGCAAACTTTTAAACTCGGGTAACTAATTAACAGGTTTTTCCATAGCCAGAGTTCACCACACTACCTGTCAGAAACTGACCATCACTTCAGTTATTATCAGAACCTGTACAAGGAGAACTGAAATCTCTCTTCCAGATGAGCAAAACCACTCTGTGATTAAGCAAAAGCATAATTTTTTAAACCTATTTCAAGCCAGCACATCAGGGATTAAATTCAAAATCCTTAAGCCCTAAGACTACATTTTTCTTCAGGCAGATCAAGCCATCCTGATTTGACAATAAGCATAATCTAAGGATAAACTGTGTTGAAGACAACAGACAGGAACTGCCACAAATGCCCCAAAACCGCAGCTGTTGCTTTTATTATTTCAGCACCTTGTACATCACCCTTTACCCAGGGATGCATGGCAGTAACACCACATACATCTCATTTCCTTCCTCCCAAGACACTTGTTTCACATTCTGTGATCACAATTTCAATAATTATTATTTCAGTTGTTGTCTTCTTTCATGCAAACAATGCTAAAGCCAGATTCACATTATCAGCTCCCTTCTGTGGTTCCAGACTTCATTTTCTTGGGGCAACATCAATGACCCCCCACTCAATCTCTGCCATCACAGTGCAGACCAACCAAGGCAGCCTTCACACAGAGATTGCTGCAAGTTCTGCACTTTTTATAAACACTGCCAAGTTTAAGCCTAATGAAAGTCAGATAATAGTGAAAAGTATTCTACTCACATCTTAAAGAGCTCTTCCTCATCCTCCTCCAGAGTTTTTATTTCTTGCTCTGGAAGGGAAACTATAGGCTCAAACTGAGGATCATGGTTAGAGTCATCTGCATTCTCAGCAGAAGTATCATGATCCTCGTGTGCCTCCTGAGGAGAAAAAAAGAAAACACAAACTTGCTATGTACCCCAACCATGAAGTACTCACATCTGTGTTTCAAACTTTTCAGCAATTAGATCTTAATAACTGTAATAACCAATAAAATAAAGAAATATGATTACACCTGAAAACAAATGACTTCCAAGTCAACATACAGGCACACTAAGAAACAAAAGGGTGCTCATGCAGTGCTGGGTGTTTTAATCCTACCACTCATGAATTGTGCAGAGGCTTGGCCTTGGAGTAATAGCTCTGGGTTATGGAAAAACAATTTCATCAACAGTTTTTCCTATGTAATGTGTTTTATGCTACCAACACCCTACTATTTCTGAGTGCCTAATGACCCATTGTTAATGGGAAAATTAGGAAAAAACCCACACAACATCCACCTAACCCAGCTTAAGGGACATATTGCATCCCCAGTTCACCATTCTGTCTTATGTATTAGAATCACCCACAGTCAACACAAACAAAGATTCTTTGAGGCACAGCTCATAAAGTAATTTACATTTCTTGCTTTTAGACTCCTCAAGGAACTTTAGGTTACAGGTAAATGGCCAAAATAATCCTTCCTATTTAAGTTGTTTAGGAATCTGTCAGAGCATTCATTAAGCTTAAGAATGGTTTTTACTACCGTGACTAGCAGGTAAACGACAAACATCTCTAGTACTTCATACATATGGACTGCTAAGAGCACTCAGAACACAAGCCTGGGAGGGAGATTCATATGCAAGTTTAACAAAGCCACAGAACAGCTATCTCAGGTCTAGGGAACTGATCTGTGTTTGGGGATTTTTGGTGTTGCTGAAGCAACAGAAAGGAAAAACAGTCTTCACGTACAAGACATTTAAATAATATTTTTACTTTACAAATGGAAGAGTCCACTTGTACAGGCTCCATTCACAATGTCCTTCACAGAGTAGGTATACACCACGTGTGCATAAAGCAACAGAAATAAAGCAGTCTATTTTTACTAAATAGTAAACAAGAGAAAAAAGAGGGGGGCAAGGGAAAATTAAGTAAAAAATTATGCAAAATAAAATGTAGTTGTGTCAGCAACGTCACACAAGCTATCGCCAATATTATATCCCCAGCGTTCCAGCAAAAAAAGCGAGAAAGGAATTACGTCACATCTGTCTCAAAAAAAAGGAAATGTTAGCCAAACTTTTATACATTGTATCCATGTGTGCAAGTAGCACATCCCGCATGGTCATTCATCACGCCTTCTGCGCCTGAGCAATAATCACACAGACCATGAGAAATGCACAATCGCAGCAGGCACAGAGAACGCGATCCCGTTATCCCGACACGATCCCGCCCTGCCGCGACAGAAGCACGTGAGCAACTGGTGCGGCACGAGGGGTCCGGCCCGGGCCCGGGGAGGGGCGGAAAGAGGGGGAGAAGAAAGGAGGGAAAGGGGGAGAGGGACTACCCGAAAGATCCCGGCTCGCCCGGGCTCCCTCATGCTGGGGAACGGCCAAAGCGGGTGCAGGGCCCGGCCCGAGCGGCCACGCGTGCCCGGAGCGGCCGCAAAGCCCAGGCCCGGCGGGCGCGGCCGCTCCAGCCCCCAGCCAGGCCCAGCGTCCGTCCCCCCGCGGGCCCTGCCCGACCTCGGCTCCCCCCGCCCGGGCCCCACCTGTTTCCGTTACTCTCCCACCCCGGCCCTCGGTGCCGCCCTCGCCCCCGCGCCGTTCCCGGCCCGGCCGCCGGCCCGCGGCCGCCCCTCACCGCCGTGTCCGCCATGGGCCCGCTCGCCGCGCTCCGCTCGCCGCTTCCTGCCGCGCGCCCCGCCCGCCTTTACCTCATTCCCGCAGCCCGCGCCGCGCCGCCGCAACGCCCGATGGGAAACGCCCGCTCCCCCTCAGCCCCGCCCCCGGCGCGGGCAGAGCACCGCCCGCCCCGGCCCCGTCACACCGATCCCCCCGTGGGTCCTCGGAACCGGTTCCGATACCGGCCCTGTCACCGGCCCCCGGTACCGACCGCCGGCGCGGCCCCTCCGTCCCCCGAGAAGCGTTTTTGTTGTCCCGTTTCCCAGGCGCTTTTCCCATCACCCCCCGCGCCATGGCGGCGACGGCCCGCGTCCCGGCCCAAGATGGCGCCCGCGTGAGGGAAGGGGTGATGTGTGAGCTGCTGTTTTTGCTGTGTTTAAGGGCCGCGGGTGCTTTCGGGCGCGAGGAGCGGCAGCGCTGAGGGACAGCGCTTGAAAAACAACCAGATCGTTCCTCTGCCGCCATTCTCATCGCAGCTGCCCGTGCGTGAGGGTACGGCCCCGCCCCGGGAGGTGCGCGGGGTGGCTGAGGGGTGGCGGGACCATGGCGGAGGAAGGCGAGCGCTGCGACCCCGACCGCGACCCGGCTCCTGTGGCGGAGGCTGGAGATGGGGCAGAGCCGGACAGCCAGGCCGGGGAAGACCCCGCGAAGAGCCCCGACGTGTACAGATACATTAAGGGAGACTTGTTCACCTCCGAGATTTATAAAGTAGAGATACAGAACCTGCCCAAATACATCGGGTTTAACGATGTGAAAAAGTTCCTTGCCAAGTACGGGCTCAACCCTCACAAGATAAAACTCTTCGGGAAGCAGACGTTCGCCTTCGTGACGTTCAAGAGCGAGGAGGAGCGGGACAAGGCCATGCGGGTGCTGCACGGCGCGCTCTGGAAGAGCCGCCACCTCAGCGTGCGCCTGGCCAAGCCCAAGGCAGACCCCATCGCCAAGAAGAGGAAGCAGGAGGAGGATTCGGAGCAGGGGGAGGCGAAGCGTCCGGCTCCCTGCGGGGAGGAGCCCCTGAGCAAGCGGATCGCGGACGTGGTGACCCCGCTGTGGAACGTGCCCTACGAGGCGCAGCTGGCCCAGAAGAAGCAGGAGTGCGAACAAGTGCTGCAGAAGCTGACAAAGTAATTCCTGTTTGTAACGTAATGTGTACAAGACTTGGCCTTGTGATGGGATATAGCTAAATTCACAGCAATTGATACCTCTAAACTGAAGTGAGTTAGAGGTAGGTCAAAACTCGGATCCCCTGTCAAAATAATTACAAGATAATCTGCGATGCTGCAGCTTAAAAGCTGTTCCATCTGACAAAACTTGCTATTGATGTTCTTGGTCACCTTCAAAAAATTGCTTAGTGAAGGGAAATTGGTTTTAAATCTGTTGTTCCATAAGCAGAAGGATGTTTGTGCCCGTAAAAAAATGGCATTGTCACATGGTGTAAGAGAGAATCAGTCTGTAGAGATGGCAAATTACTACTAGGATTTTCTCTTTTAAAATCTCCTCAAAATTTTATGCCTGGTCTTTGAAGATCAAAGTATCACTTCTGTATCTTGCCGTCGACAAAACTGGCATTAATTATCATGCATGGTACGTTGATAAATCCAGTACATAAGCATAATGTAAGCAGTACATTTAACCCTTACTTTTTCAGGTTACAGCTCTTACAAAGTTGGAGAGGGTTTGCCTGTTAAAAAAACCTGGAAGAAACACTCTTCCATGTGATAATCTGGTTCTTTTTTGTGCCCTTTACAGAGAAGAAGTCTTGTGCAACTCTTGACCTCAATATTTCTAAATGTGTGCTTTACATTTTTTGTTTCTGATTTCGGCAGGGAAATAGGAAATAATAACCGAGCTTTATTACCCTGGTTGTTCCTGCAGAAGCAGAAGTTTAATAAATTATGTTGCCCAGTGGAGGGAGTGAAAGCATCACCCTTGCAGGTAATGTAATCTCAGGTAAAGTGTGGAACAGGGTTAATGAGCTGAGGGTTATGTTCATTCATTATTTGGTTTTGAGAAGACACTGGACAAACTGAGTATTTGACTTAGTCTTGTAATAAATGATGAATTTTTGTTGTGTTTCATGTAAATACTATGTGGAAATATTAACAGGAAGCAGAGAAATTGATAACTGGATATGATAACTTTAAAATGAATATGCTGTCTTTGCAAGCCTCTGTTGTAAGCTAATACATTCCTCAACAGAGGCAATGTTTTGCTTTTTAAATAACAAGATTTACAAATACCTTTTCTTTATTACTGTTAGTTCACACACATCAAAATCCATCAGTATTGTCCATGTGAGCTCAATGTCCTGTGTCCATTTTCAAATGCATTTAACCACATGGGATTTTTTCCAGGAGCAACTTGGCATGTACAAATAAATGCTGTGTAAATATCTTACATAACTTTATTTTAAATCTAGACCGAATATCGCAACAAATGTGAGTTCTTGATTGGGATTGGTGTAAATCAAGAAGACAAAACTGTGGGTTGTCGTCTTGGCAAATATAAGGGTGGTACATGTGCTGTAGTGGAGCCATTTGATACTATTCACATTCCTGCTATTGCCAAAAAAGTAGTAAAAGCTTTCCAAGACTACATAAGGTGAGCATAAGTAAAATGAGTTATCCATAAAGGTTTTGATATCTTAATCAAAAATATTTATAAATTTAATTCATGTTTGTTCTGAGCTTTGAGATCTAAGATGTACCAGTCTCAATTTTAGCAATTCTTTGTTTCTGCCTTGTGCCTGCATCATGGGGACTTTTGCCCTTGCTCCTGCTCAGCTGCTCCCAGCTGGGGTCAGGTGCCAGCTGAACCCAGCTTCACTGCAAGCAAAGGGATGTGTAAGTCTGCAGTAAAAGTGTGTGTTACTGCAGTAAAAGTGTGTGTTACTGCAGCAAAAGTGTGTGTTACTGCAGTAAAAGTGTGTGTTACTCAGGAGCTTCTTCCACTAACTGTAAAGAAGCACTCAGAAAAACACTTCTGAAAGGAGGAATTAATTAACCAAGGTCCATTGTTTTCTGGGATGGGAATCATCGTCCTACAGAAAGGAATAACCCAAGAGCTGCACATTTAAATAAGAGTACTTTTTTAGAAAAAAGGATGCATTCTCTAAAAAGCAGTTAAATGCACAAAAATGGAACCTCAGAAGAATCATGAAGATGGAAGATTTGAACTTGCTGTGAAGCAGAGAAGCTAATGAAAGCATTCTAAAAAGTTATGTCATTGTCTGAATTCAGTGAGAAGCTGCCTCTTGCCTCTGTAATTTTGCATGGGTTAAAACGAGCAAGAGGATTGTGTGAAGGAGGGCAGGTTATTTTTCTTTAGGAGACACTGTCCATCAGTCTTCCTTAGTTGGAAGTAATTTCTTGTTTGACAAATGAATGTACCCTCTTTTTGTACTCAGCATTTTCTCCATCACTTCTTTTGATTCAATGAACTGTTTAATGTTACACAAAGAAGGAATTCTCAGTGTGAGTGACCGAGCTCGTGCCCGTTGCAGGTCGACTCCTTACTCGGTGTACAGCCCCGAAACCTACGAGGGGCACTGGAAGCAGCTCACGGTGCGCACCAGCCGCCACGGCCACATCATGGCCATTGCTTACTTCAACCCTCAGGTACTGCACTTGATGGGTGATGGGCAGCCCAGGCTCTGCTTTAGAACCACTTAAACTGGCTTTTATGAATTGTGCATGCAAAACTGAAATAGAAGAATTACTTGGTGTGGTTTAAGTTGCTGCGCTGCTCTAATTCTATTTAGACTAATCTGATACATGGAAATGAACAAGTAATATTCTTATGTAAAGCATACACTAAATGATATCTTGAAGTCACTAAAATTATTTTTCTCCCTTCATTCACATGAAAATTTTAGAAATTGAGTAAAGAAGAGCTAGCTGACCTGAAAATCTCTCTGGCAAAATACTTCACAGAAGGGATGGGAAAGAGCAGTGGTGTTACTTCCCTGTACTTTGTGGAGGAGGGACAGAGGTGAGCGGGTTGACTTTGCTTTGGGGGATTTTGGTGGTGTCTGGATTTTTGATGTTTGCAAATTTCATAGCGTTGTTTATCTACTTCATAGAAGTAGCAGCAGCAGTTACTAATTTGTTTTAAGTTACTCACCTTTGCCACAAGAGACTCCTGAAATCTCCAATTCTCTGGGTAAAGGCAGGAAGAGTTTCAGTGGGTGAACCCACTGGCCATTGCTGCCTGTCAAGCTACAGAAGTGTTTACTGCAGTAGATGAATGTTTGTGTTTATCAAGTAACTTCTTCCCTATTGCTGTGAATTTTTCAATCTCCCATACTCCATGGAGCACAAGGCTCACATATCTTCATCTAGAGATGGTGGAGGTCCTTGCACACTCTGAGACATTAATGGCCAAGGGGAGTCTCCAAGAGCAGATGATAAATGGCACTGCTTAGGGTGTAGCACTGCAGGTTTTAGGATGATTACAGCTTTGGTAAAGATTGTAGCAAACATGTTTGTCTTCTTTTTTCTGGTTTTGATTCCCCCTCTATTTTGTCTTCCCATTCCTCCCCTACCCCCAGGAAATCTCCCAATCTAGAAGATTTGCCTTTGGAGCATGTGGCTGGTGATAAGTACATATATGAAGAACTCCTTGGCCTAAAATTTAGAATTTCTCCTCATGCATTTTTTCAGGTAAGGATGATGTGAAGCTGCTCATTTAACTGGATCTGCTTGAATGGTCTGGGGCTTGACTAATGCTGTGGAACAAGATGTTTCATACCTAGAAATTTAACCTTTTATATACTTGGTGTGATTAAATAGCAGTGTTATGTTTGGCTGTAAAAGCAGTGAATGACTGTAAGCTTGATGGGAGCACCTTGAAGACAACTTTTCCTATTTACTTGTTCATTATAATTTTCCTTCTGTTTAATGGCAGCCTTTTGTAACTCTGAACATGCAGTAATACAGTTCAAGAGTCTTGTATAAGTGATCTTTGTTTGCTTTTCCAAAACTTATTTCTGCCCTTTCAACACTTTAGAATGTGTTTTTAGCTTATAATGATTTGTTGATGCTTTACTGAGACTCATTAAAACATATTTACTGTTTATGAAGAAGTAGATCTATTGGAACCTTAATTTCCCAGGTGAACACCCAAGCTGCAGAAGTGTTGTACACTGCCATTGAGGAGTGGGCACAACTGAGCCAGGAGAGCACCGTGCTGGACATCTGCTGTGGGACAGGAACCATTGGGATTTCCTTAGCAAAGGTTGGCAATTTCTCTTCCTGGATAGGAGTTACTTTTTACTCGTTTTTTAACTATGGCTGGAAGGGAAGAAAACACCTAATGAATGTGAAATGCAACAGATTATATCTCAATTTTTTGATTAATTTGTAATTGAGCTGCCTGCAGCTGCTTTACCACATCCTTATGAAAGCTCACCCTTATGTTGAGCAGGCTGGGTAGGAGGAGTTAAAGTCCCTGTTAACTGCTGATGTTATGAAAAATGGTTAAATTCACACATACAGACCACAGAGGGAACTTTTCCCTTTGATTCTGCAGAGAGTGAAGAAGGTCATTGGAATTGAGCTCTGTCAGGAAGCTGTGCAGGACGCCAAAGCAAATGCCCAGATTAATGGTGAGTGAAGCTGAAATGCTGAAGCTTTTGTTTGGTGAGGAGTAGGTGCAGCCAGTTCTTTACCTTATCTAAGCAGCCTGGAATTACATGTTGTTGATAGTGATCTTGTCCCGTTTAAACACTTAATCGCTCTTGGAAACAAACACCTTGTTAGCCCGTGAGATCAATTTCTCAGTTGAACAGTTTTTTTTTTAAATTGAAAAGTAAAACATTTATTTCAGTGTAAAAATGAGATGAAACCACAGCTACCCTCCTAAAGAAAACAATAACATAGCTGGTGTTTGTGGGCTTTTGCTTTAGTCCAGACAGTGGAAGATGCTCAAATTACTGTTGTTTGAATGGTCTGAAGTTAACAGTGATTGTTTATATTACACTGGGTAGACAAAACGATTTGGAGTTTCTGAGGCATCAAAACTTAATATCCAAGGTAAAGAACTGAAACCTGCTTCAACTAGACAAGTACACTGATAACATCTTTTCTTTTTCTTACAGAACTGAATAATATTGAATTTTACTGTGGGAAGGCAGAAGATATTGTTCCTTCCCTGATGAATGTTTTAGCTCCTCAGAACCTGATCACGATTGTAGATCCACCACGGGCAGGGCTGCGTAAGTTCACAGGGGTTTAAGGCCAAGAAAACACCATTGGGATAAATTAAATGGAAGCTTCAAGTATAGCTTGGAGCAACATTGCAGTTTTGTTCATGCTGAGTATAACCTGGCATTTTTCTGTGGGGCTCTTCCTGCACACAGAGCCAGTAAACAGCTGTTGTGGTTTTGATCATCTAGATTCCAAGGTAATTCTTGCCCTGAGAAGAGCTGAACATCTAAAGAAGCTCATCTATGTCTCCTGCAATCCCAGAGCTGCAATGAATAACTTTGTGGAGTGAGTGTTTCTTGCATTAAATTGACTTACTAAATGGGATAAGAAAACAATGCTTTTTGGGGAGGGGTATCATTGCTAGATTTTTATTTGCAAGCCATGTTCCTTGAGGCTCACCTTTCACCAGACACAGCTGGCAGCTGCAGCAGCTGGCTGGGAATGGCACTGCCCAACAGACGAGTCAAAATGGAAATACTGGTGGTAGTGAGTAAGCCCACCATGGAATTGAGGCTCAGGGAAGGAAAACCTCTCTGAGAAGAGCAGCAGGGATGAGCAGTGCACTAAAATATTAATTCATTTCTCCCTGCTCTTGTTTCCCTTCCCCATCCAGCCTGTGCCGGGCCCCTTCCAACAGGGTGAAAGGAGCCTCATTCCGGCCCGTGCGAGCCATGGCCGTGGATCTGTTCCCTCAGACCAGGCACTGTGAGCTGCTCATCTTCTTTGAGAGGGTGGAATACGCCAATGGCAGCTCTGCAGCAGCAGCACCTGCTGCCACTGAGACCCCAGCAGCAGCCTGTGGCACCAAGGGCATGGATGGCACCAACCCGGACAGCGAGGGGAGCCAGGCAGCTGCTGGCCATGGGGACTGCAGTCCAAGAGAGGGCTCACCTTAACTCCTCAGAGACTTCATAGAAACTACTTCTGATTTTTAACTGCATTGGTAACATCACTTCTGTAACATGCAGGTAATAAATCTCTGTACAACAGAGTAATTGCAAGGCTTCCAACTTATTTCATCACCCTAATTTGAATTAAGTTTCGTTATCATCGATTCCCAGAAGGGTTTGTGTTGAAAGGGACCTTAATGATTATCTGATAACCACCCCTTTGCCATGAGCAGGGACACCTTCCACTCAGCCAGGCTGCTCAGAGCCCCATCCAGCCTGGTCTTGAACACTTCCAGGGACAGGATGTTACCTCATACAATTAGCCCAAATCCTGCTTTTCCCTTCCTGCCTAGGTACATTCATACATTTATCTAAAGACACCCCCAATTCCCAGAGCAGATCTTGCTACAGGGACCTGGACCTACCTGTCAGTATTTCATCATGCTCTGACCCCTGTCAAAACTGTGCCATGTTTTTTCAGTATGCAAGTTAAGATTAACCTTTTCAAAAATAATTTACTTGCAAAATATTAGGAAGTAACAAACTCAGTCTAATAAAAATGCTACACTTGCCACAATTGAAGTCAGTCTTACTCTCAGACTGTAGCAAGACAATAAAGGCTGCAAGTTTCCTCAACCATACTGCTAAAGCTGAGAGGATTTTGCTCAAGGCAGGCCCTCACCACTGCGAACTGACAGCCAGAACTGAACTGTGCCAACAGCAGCACCTTACCCTGCACTGCCAGTGCAGCTGAGCTCCAGCAGATGCTCCAGTCAGCACTCACTGCAGCCAGAGGCTGAGCAGCCATTGAAGGCCTGTGATCCACACTGCAGAACACACAGCAACACTGCTGGAAGGAGCAACCACCTTCAATCTCAACTTACTTCTAATATACATTTAGTATGGCCCATGGCTGTGCTGATAGCACACCTTTCCAGTGTTTGGTACCTGCACCCAACAGGTACCAAAACCAGCACTTTGAGTTGTAACATTTCCAGCCTTGCCATGGTTTAAGTAAAAATACAAATCCCAATTCAAAAAAAGGTAACTTCATTTCATTCCAAGTGTTTAACCATGTAAACATTCAATTCCTCACCAAAAAAGTAATTGAGTATTGCCATAATCAATGAGACTGCACTGATCTAATTTCTCTTTAAAAATATCTAGAAGATTTGAAGAATAGAAGTTCCTTTCTCTATATATGCTTACACTATCATAATACTGATCACACTGGCACATTTTATAATATCAAACTTTATTGCTCAAAACTAATTGTCTGAAAAATACACATGTAGTACTCAAAGACTGAACACAGAGGATTACATGATTGTGCAGAAAAAAAGCAAGCAGAGGCTCAGTGAAAATGAGGCTTTATAGTTGTACCAATTTAGCACTGGCACCAAGCAACTGCACCCAACACAACTCAAAACAGCAAAATTGTTACCTGCTGGGGCAATAAGGATGAACTTTGTTTTGTTTTCCTATGTTCTCAGATACACATTGAAATACTGTCACCGATCATTTTATTTGGTTAATAACAGCATGGCTTCTTGCACTTCACATTTCTTCCCACTAAGTTAGGAGGCTATCACTTCCTGAATTTCACTCCAGAACCAAAGTACAGTTTAGTGAATTATTAAGATAATCATGATGCTTTTAAATACTTGGACGTTACAAATATTATTTGTATAAAGCCTAACAGCATCACAGGAGAATGGAAGTTTACATACAACAGTTAAGTTTATGCATAATAGTCTTTCCAAAGTTCTGAGTACCCAACTAATTCAGTTTTGTCTAATAAATATGTTTAAAAAAGCTGATGACTGGTGTTTCAGTAGGTAGCATCTGACTAGTCACAGTAAGTTTTCTGTCAGTACCATGAAGATTTGAATGCACACGAATTTAATCCTTAAAGTCAAAATACCACACTTTTGTCGAGAAGCACATAATATGCAAAGCAAAATCTGTCTAATCCCCAAAGGATGGAACAGTTCTTAAAAATACACTCCATCCCTATAAAAATACCCATCTTCCCCTGGATATAGAAGGGATAAATAACAAGTATCAGTGACAAAAGCAGCAGTTTTATGCATTCATACAATCAGATCTAAACCTTTACAGCCGATTACCTAGAAAACACACAAGAGTTACAAGACAAGTTTAGGATACATCTTGAATCACACTGTAAGTGTTCATGCAGAAGCTGAAGTTAATGCAATGGTCTATCCTCTATCACAGCAGCTCGTGCTTATGTGCAAATGCAAGACTGTTACACCCCAAACAATAGTAAACATTAAAACACAAGAATACTTCACAATGACAAAACAGCAGTTACGTTGTTTGTTCCAGCAGTTATTGCGCTATTTTCTGGACATCTCTCCAGTTAAAGGCTGCAGCAAGGTCTAATACCATCTTTTTATGTTTGTTTTTGTTTAGAATGCATAATATACGTTCTAGGCTTTGGTTCACAATGAAATCTCTGGATGTTTTAATTAAGGGCAATGGTCACCTTGTGATTCTGATAGTGGCAGACTGAGGTAATACAGCAATCCTCTTAAAATTAATAAAAACAAATTGGTAAGTGAGGCATCCATGGATATTCTGCAGGTGACCTGCAAATGCATTGACATTCTGATTTCAGAGAAATAAAAAGATCTACAAGGGTGATTTGTCTTTTACAGTGCCATCCAAGTACAGATTTTTCTGCTGAAAACACAAGCTGAAAGAAAACCTATCTAAGAGTAATACATTTAGGCATAGAAGGTAAAAGCCCTGTCTTCATGAAAACAGAAAAGTCCCAATAAAAACAATGAAAAGAGACAAACAGCAATCGCTGCTTGTCACTACTGCACCAATATTATATACCCTTCAAAAGATGGAGATTTATTAAAGCTATACAAAAAAAAAAGCAGAGGCAGTGTTTTTTTGTGGTTTTTTTTCTTTTTTTTTAGACAGGCCACTTCTTTAAATAATAGTTTATATATTGTCTTCCAACTACCCGTATCCTGTTGTAACAGGATTACAACTCATGGAACTAAAAAGCTAAATATAATAATAAAAAATGCGTGGATTCATATTTGCAGAGACCTCCAAGCATATCACTTACACACAGAAACAGGTAAGACTCCATGACTCCTCCTGTTTAACCTCTAACATTATATGAACATTAGAGAACACTAGCTTGAAATATAAATTAAAATCCACATATTTCCAAAGTAACGTGTGATGTTAAAAGGAGGTCTTACAATACTGATGCCAACATTTTTAAAATCCAGTAGGCACTAAATTCAATATAATGCAGCACTCTCTATGTAACATGGTAAATTAAAAAACAAAACCACACCAAAATCGGAATAAAAACAAAACAAAAGAAAAAAACCCCTCAAGCCCCCAGATCCCTGTCAATGTAAGTACCAGGAGCTGCAGCAGGTACAGAGAACTGACCTTTCATTCTCAACAGGAGCAGAAGGAGTGTAAAAGTGGAGCAGTGCAGCTCCTGGCTAAGTCACTGCAGCCCTGCCCCAGCTTGGCTTTCGCTCTGTTCTTAAAGACCAAACCAAGAAATGGCTGCAAGAGCAGAGTCCCTGCAGCCACCCAGAGCACCCCGTGTGCAGAACGGAAGCCAGGGAGCAGGGCTGTCACACAGCCACACCATCTCTTTTGTGCTTGGCTTGATAAAGCCTCAGATGACACAGTGAGTACTGCCTGTTTCCCAGGATTGTGGTTTAGAGTAGTTGCATATTTGTGATTTTCTTATTTATGAGTATAACCGGTTATGGTCTCATTCTACTTATTACTCTATGTCATATTCCAAACCTACATTCTAATTTTCATTGCAGAAGTTACACACTTTCTTTAAAAACTAAAAATGTAGTTAAAAAAGTAAAAACAAAAACTTGTTAAAAAATCTAAATAAATTGCTGCAGTCGGACTTAAGGTTTGTGTTGATTTATTTTCTAAAGTCTTTGCTTTTATGGTGCAAATTAATTAAGACTTAACTGATCAAGTCAGATGCAATCTGACACCAAACAAATGAGAAATTGTTTTATTGCTGGGAAAAGGGAGTGGAAAGTCATTGGCAAAATATTTTCAGACTATCAACCATCATCAGCTGCATTTTGGCTCCAAGCTTTGAAAACAGCTTTTTAAATTACAGTTTTTACTTTAATCATATAAGTGGGGCCATATTTTCCCTGTTCCACTGATCTGTAAACTAACACAGGCTCTTTTCATTTAAAATAAACCCCAGTAATTCTCAATCTCCAACCTGTTACTCTTAACACTACCAGGTATTCTTGTTCTTTTCAAGTAATAGAAAATCTGCATCCTCTAATCTCAAATAACTAAGCCTGGCAGGAGACAAGAAACAAGACAAAGAAACAGCGTTACTGGCCTAATCCTATGGCATTAGAAACATTGCTCATCACTTTCCTGTATTTGTCACCAAAGTGTCTTATCAGTGCATATTATTATGTGCTGAAATGCAACAAAACTTTTCACAAAAATAGTTCTAGGCATGTTCATACAAGAAGATGTACATATACTTCTTTTATATATACATATATATGAATGTGTATGTATATAATATCAGCTTCAACCTGTACATAGACATTCTGAATTTCATATTTAAAATACATCCATTCCAAACAACATGGATGGCTTTCCAGGAGAAAGTGCTTGATTGGTTTTATCCTGTGTGAACATGCCTGTCCTCTGTGCATTTGCCCCAGTAGAGATCTTTATGATCAATTCTTTAACATATGTATCTCAGAGGTATTAAACAAGGAAAAAAAAAACAAAGAAAAAGAAATCAGGAAAAAGTAATATTGCCCTGATGATGCAAAACGAACAATGCATAACTGAAGCAGCTTGGATTTTAAAAGTTATCTTGCATTCTGCAGCAAACAATTTTTAAATAATTGTTGAAAATCTAGTTCCTCCATTTGTGTTATTGCTCCCCACTTGCACATTTTCTCATTAAACATCAACAGTACAGAGAGGTTCACTACCAGGTTGAGCTGATTCCACTATTGTCATCTTGGGTTTCTTTCGTGTTTCCTCCTAAAAAATACAAAACAGCCCCACCACACAGTCATAAAGAGAATAGAATCATAAACCAGTAAAAATTCTGAACCATTTTAGCAAACATGTCAGTTGCTGCAAGAGGCTAACTAGGGCTAAGGTTAAAAATGAATGTACAGAAGTAGGAACAATCCAGTTATGAGCCAGTTCAAAAGACAGCATGACAATCTCCCCAGAAGTAGACCCCCAATCAAATTCTGAAGAGCTCTCTTTACT